CGCTGCTAGCAAACCAAAGACTCCATTAATATAAAGCACAAACATAATCTAAACTATTATGTGTGTAGGCTTCCTACCTGTAATTAAAGCAGCTATTGATAAAGTGTTCAAAAAGGCCTCTGACAATACGCCTATTTAACTTAGCTAAAAGCTACTTATAAACAGGGGGCCTGGTGTGACCTAGCGGTTAGCGTACCTCGTCTGTGTATCCAAAGATTCACGGTTTGCGTCCCTTAGTTGGATTAGATCGCCACTCACATAGCTATAACCTCTAGCCTACATCAGGTATTTAACATTAGTTTATTGCTGTATAATTCATTTATGTAAACGAAAGCCTGAATATGTTTTGTTTATTAAGTTTGGTTTTCAGCTACAGATAAATCCTGTAATTTTATCAAAAACCAGTTGGTCGCTGATTAGGCATTTCACCTGATCGGAATTCTTTAAAATATCACCGCATTAAATTGTTTGAGTAACTGAAGACAGAATTAATGAATTGAGTTGTTTCAAAGTTATTGGAAGTTAATTATATACAGCGTCTCTGACATCAAATAAGATTTTTTACCTCAACTCTTGTTGAACCTATTTCTTATTATTTTAAAATATATCCAGGTACTTCAGGTTTTTGGCAATTTTCTGAAATAATCACTATTCTCGTTGTGACGGTTTTGGCAAATCTGTTAAGACTGAATTTCAGTTAGTTAGTTTTGAGGCATTCATTATAATTGAATCTCAATCTGTTAGTTGTGACACGTCCATTAGGATTGAATCTTAGTTCTTCAGTTAGTTTTGGCACGTCAATGAAAATTGAATCTTAGTTTATTAGATATTTTTGACATGTGCATTAAAATTGAACCTATTTCTTATTATTTCAAAGTATATCCAGGTACTTCAGGTTTTTGGCAATTTTCTGAAATAATCACTATTATCGTTAGATATTTTTGGCACATGCATTAAATTTGAATCGTAGTTCGTTTGGTACATCCATTACAGTTGAATCTTAGTTCGTTAGGTAGTTTTGAAACATCTGTAGAAGTTGAATCGTAGTTCGTTAGGTAGTTTTGAAACGTCCATAGAAGTTGAATCTTAGTTCGTTAGGTAGTTTTGAAACTTCCATAGAAGTTGAATCTTAGTTCGTTAGGTAGTTTTGAAACATCTGTAGAAGTTGAATCTTAGTTCGTTAGGTAGTTTTGAAACGTCCATAGAAGTTCGTTGAGTAGTTCTGTCACATCCAGTGCGGTTGAATCCAATAACTATGTTATCTTAATCTGGATATTTTACCCCACCTTTTCCTCAACGTCTATCAACTTGTCTCCAAAATGTTTGATTTTAATATTTCTCGCACTAATAATGCATTTGTTCACAAAAAATGGCCGTAAGTCGGGCAGGTAATAAAATTAGAAATAAAACACTAGAATAATAGTAAAACAGAGATATCTTTAAATGTGTGGTTTCTATAAACTTCATTTGACTACAGATTTATGATCTAAAACTTGGTGTGAAAAGAAGAAAATATTAAATGTGTGAAATAATCTGTTAAAAACTAAACATCATATTATTATTACAAGTCATTAAAAACACGTTGGTTAGTTACAGATAACTTACTTGACTTGACGTCTTTGTTGTGTATACAACAACTATTACTTTTACTGGACGCCTAACAAGTATAATTGTCACTAGTTTTAACTAATATTTCACAGAATATCAAGTACGACAGGAAAGCATATGTAGATCAAGACACGACGTTTCCTTCCCGTCAGAAAAGGGCTTCTCCGAGTCAAAAACTTACTAAAGTATGATCAATACATACATCTCTATGTAAAAACAACAAAACTATGAAGCGCTCTCTTGTGGACCAAAAAAGGTTTAATTTACTCGAGTTTGTGTGTACCAGTTTCATACAAAATGCTTTATCGTCAAAGATGTACAAGGATCTAAGAATATCGTCAAAGATGTACAAGGATCTAAGAATATCGTCAAAGATGTACAAGGATCTAAGAATATCGTCAAAGTTGTACAAGGATCTAAGAATATCGTCAAAGTTGTACAAGGATCTAAGAATATCGTCAAAGATGTACAAGGATCTAAGAATATCGTCAAAGTTGTACAAGGATCTAAGAATATCGTCAAAGTTGTACAAGGAACTAAGAATATCGTCAAAGATCTAAGAATATCGTCAAAGATGTACAAGGATCTAAGAATATCGTCTCAAAGATGTACAAGAATCTAAGAATATCGTCAAAGATGTACAAGGATCTAAGAATATCGTCAAAGATGTACAAGGATCTAAGAATATCGTCAAAGATGTACAAGGATCTAAGAACATCGTCAAAGATGTACAAGGATCTAAGAACATCGTCGAAGATGTACAAAGATCTAAGAATATCGTCAAAGTTGTACAAGGAACTAAGAATATCGTCAAAGATGTACAAGGATCTAAGAATTGTAATTTTCCATATTTTAGTTCCTATCATAATGCCCCATAAATGGCGTATATTAATTCATTACTTTCTTCATGAATATTAGACCATTAGAACGGTAGCCCATAATTAAATGACATTACGGTTCAATCTCCTAACGTTATTCAAAAGTCACACAGTTTAAATTTTACGGTCAGTTAGTCACTACATAACCAATACTGTTGATACTTGTGTCTTCATTTTATTACAATCAATATTTATCAACAATGTCTAATCATAAATGAGAACTAAAAATTAACCCAGTACTTAATATAGCTAATTTGATATCTATAAGATCCAGTGTCTGTCTGTGTGTCACGTAACTCCTAAACCGCTGGTCGCACGAACTTCTTAGTGGTACCAAACGAATCGCCTCGTTCCCGGGGTAAAACTTTTCATCCAACCCCTTTGGGAACCCGGGGATTTCCCGAAAACCCCTTCTCCCAAACTGTTGGGCTTACCAACTTCTAAATGGTGTCCAAACGAATCGTCTTGGCCCCGAGGTTTGTACAAAGGTAAAACTTTTCACCCATAATGCATTAATTTATTAGCTAGGTAACTTCGCTGTAACGTCGTAACGACGTTTTCGGCTATAATCCCAAAATACACATACCCTCGTATTCTCCCTAACGGCGTCGTTACCAATGAAAGCCCATATACGAGATAAAATACTAAGACAAGTGTTATTTAGCATATAGAATCGTATACAGATATCATAGTCCAGCAAAAACTAGTGTTTATGAAGGTAAAAAATGTATAAAAAAGTCGTGCAATAAATAGACAAAATGTAAATATTCTAATTACAATAATTTAGATAAATGTAATATAATGAAAAATATTACTGAACGTTATATGAACTGTGTCTGTGTGTAACAATTAAGAAGATACTATTGTCCAAAACTTTCATTGTAGATCTTATTTATTATCTTGACACTATGGTAATCCCGATTTTTCATCTTCCGTCGTAGGATCGAACCCAGGATATCTCGCACAAAACATTATTGCTAGTAAGGTACTATTTAAGTCAAACTATAATGTAGGATCAGAAAGTTGGTAGATAACTCTTAAAAAATTCCGATGAAACTCTAGCGCTTTCGACTGGTGGACTTGTCTTATTCAGGGGTAGGGGCAGAGTAGAAAACACTTTTGACCCAGTTTTCCATTAAGTGCCATTACAATAAGTCAGAAGCTTTGCAACTTTTATATATTTTTTGCTTATAAAATAAAATCTTCAATCTCCAGACATTCAAAATACAGAAACATTCATGTTATACCAGCAAGTCAACGGTAAGATAACGAACCTACGATGCTAAAATCCGAGGTTCGATTCCTCACAGTGTACAGGGCGAAAATAGTCCCTTGTGTAGCTTTGCACTAAAATCAACAACAGAGCTCAGTATTAGGACCTTTGTTCTATTTGATTTACATCAATTACATAGATGAAGGAATAGTCAATGAAACACTTAAATTTGCTGATGATATTAAGGTATTTCGTGTTGCTAGCTGTGAAGAGGATGCTGCTGATTTACAAAAGGATTTTGATCATTTAGTGAGTTGGATAATAAAATGGCAGATGGGT